AAACAAAGTGGGAGATTCGGAGCAGGGAACTCCATACAAATGCATATATTAAGTGATTCACAGGATGTCATAACAAGTTATATTGGGCACGTTCAGAAGGCGCAACAGCTCAGTATCTGTTGCGATTGCACCTTCTGAACGCGTTGTTTCGTACTTCTGATCAACTCAACAGTTGCGTGTTAGATGATCGTAATATTTTTCTGATCATTTGAAACAACATGTTGTGTGTTTTGAATTTGGCAGCTAATATATCAAGCCGTTCAGAAGACGCATTACGATCACTGATTTTTTTTTAGCAACGGTTGCGCTCAACTGCTGCTCCTTCTGAACCTTCCCAATGTCATAAATTTTATTAAAGGGATTCTTGCAAACATAAGACAGTTTTAAAGTTTTAAATGTATGACTGTGAAATAAGGGCTGTTATAATACTTTGTTAATGCTCCTGAATGTATTTTTGTGTAGTTTGGATATTTTCAATCTGATCGAAATCACAAATGAGTGGCAATAGTGGCATCGAATCTAAAATAATAAGGAAATAGCTTACATCTAAATGAACACCACGGTTGCATATTTTCGTGTCGCTTTTACACGTTTCAAAGAAAAATTACTCATTCGGGAGAATTTTTCGAGATTTTGACAGAGCTAAAAATATGGAAAGTTTTTCTTTGTTTGAGAGATGGTGTTTTTTCTGAGTGTACTATTTTGGTTACACGCTACTGATAAGAAGCGTGTCCCAGTTGTCCTAACTAAATATCTAAAACAAGCAATTGTACTCGATCATCCCCTATCGCATGGTTAGTTGACACATATGTATGTATACGGTATTACATATGTCTAAAACAAACAGCAACATAAACAGGCGATAGAAATTGATCTCCTTTATCGCTAGACTATCTCTTATTGTATTTCGCTTATCATTTCTATTAGTGACGCGTTTCTTATGTTTCTCGTTCCCTACGATAAGAAACACGTTTCCAAATGTCTATGTATCTACGTACATATGTATGTATGTATGTAAATATATTTTAAATTTACAGTATATTTTGCTTAGCTGCCCATCCTTCTTTGCACGAAAAACTTGTGCGCTTAACCGAAAAAAGCACTTAAGCGAATTTTCTTTACTACTTCAATGAGGAAGGTATCCGAATCCCTATGAAACCAAATAATAGAGGAGCACTTACCACGTAGAAATTACTGCAAGAGAAATTTTTTCTGAATGGTATCTAATTATCTATATAACTACATAAAATAATTGCCGTTTTCGTTGTTCTGCGAGATGAGCAAAATAAATAATAGCTTGTAAAATTAGGGTATCTGTAGAGCCAGTGCAGGTAAACGTAATACTTTCTTTGATAGTTGATAATAGTTGCAAATTTTTAAGGCAGGTGTCACTAATATGCCGGTATGTTGAATGCAAGTATCGGAGCAGTTTCCTTATAAATGTTAAAAATAATGCCGCTGATGCGCATTTTGGGGTAGGTATCTTAAATGTGCACTTAAGCACAAAGGCAGCAAAGCAAAATATACTGTAAATAGTCTCCTAATTGCAAGTAGACTGTACCAAGGGATAATCGCTTGCACTGAAATTATTGATTGGCTTGGCTACTTGCTTGTATACATAAATAATAAGCAGTGGAAGATTCCACAAACATCTTATGCGTATACTTACACTTACACAGATTTTATTTGAAAATAAACACTTTTCAGTAGCAGTTTTACATTCAGTTTTTAGAGTGTATAAAAAAAATGCGGAACGAACACTGAAGCAGCACTGACGGTAAAGAACGGCACTGTGCCGGACGGTCTGAACAACTCTTGTATTCACACATGTTCAAAGATGTTTGAACATATTGCCGAGCCCAAAAAAGTGAATATTTATGTACTGTATATATATTTTTTAAAAGTTCTTGCTATATTTAATGTTATTACTCAGGCAGATATGTATCCATGTTCAAAGATATTTGAACATACTGCCAAGGGCTAAAAAGTGTTAATGTTTTTTCGAATTAATGGGGCGTATTCTTGTTTTCGTACGAATCGAAAATCAAGAAATTTTCCTACATTTTCTATACAAAAATTTAAAATTTTCGATTCGTACGAAAACAAGAATATGCCTCAATATTTATTTTTTACCTTCAAAATATTTATTTTAAATTTGTTGTGGACAGGAAATCCAATCTAATTTACCCCAGGAGTTCCTCCAAGGTGGAGGACATGTTAATTTCTTCCTCTTACGCCAAATCTCAGGAAACTCGCCATGAATTTTTGGCCGTTTATGATGTTTATCCCACATTTTGCCAAAAGGTGGGCTTGCCGGGGCCTAGGAGTTTGCCATTAACTATATCAGTGGTGTTATTACTCGTTGTGTGATCGATATTCTGTATCTCATCATTACCGCTACCTCCGCGATGACTACGCGTTGTACTGGTACCAGAATGTTTGCTACTAGACTTTGTATCAGATTTGCTGGTCTCTGATTTATTTAAATTTGCTGCTGTTTTGGATGTAGATTTTACTGAATGCTGCTCAACGTTGCCTCGATTTTGAACTTCCTTGTCTGGAGATTTATTCAATACATTTGTTCCAGTAGATTGAGTGTTGTGTGCTCGTATATTACATCCACCGTTAAGCACAGAGTTAGTGATTTCATTATAATTTGCATCGACCTCGTAGACTTCCTCGCCTTCTTCATCATTATCGATTTCGCTTTCATCGCCAGAATCTTCTCCTGCATTATCTTCTGTTGCATCTTCATACAAGCTCTGCAGGCAAATATCTACTTCCTGCATTAGTTTGAAGTGATAACTGCTTTCTATGCACTGCTGCTTCAAACATGTGTTTTCTTGTTGTGTCAACGTTTTTTCGGCAGCGACCACCATCACTATTTTGTCCCACATTTTGCCAAAATGTGGACCCCCCGCGGGACAAACAGATTCCTACATGGCATCTTTATGCATTTTCACCGTGTCAGCTACTTTGACACTTTTGGTGGTCGATGCACTAATTTCTGGCAAGACCCATTCTTCTTTGGCATCCGCCTCTATTTTATGATTGTAAGTACAAACTGTCCCCTCTACGTTTATGTTACTATTTTCTTGGGCTAATTTCTTAATTATTAGCATTTCGCTCTCGCAAGCAAAACGCTTAGGATGACATTCGAAAAAAAATTCGTTAATCGTGTCAAACTTCAGCTTGTTATATCTGTTGTAGAGTTAATTGAGGGACTCATAAACCTTTCCAAGGATTTCTAGAAGCACTCCCTGTTCTTCCTCGGCAATTTGTTCTGTGGCCCATTTTGCCAGTTTCCAAAATCGAGCTAGTTGTGACAAAATTTTTCTTTCCAGATTATTGGCTTTTCCAGCTTCATCAGATTCTGTCATCTTTTTTTTCATTAAATGATTTAATAAATTTTATATTGTTTTTTCTTCTCCAAAAGAGCCGTTGGAGGTAAATGGTTTGGTCGCCTTGTTGACCTTGCTGTGCCTCGACTCACAGGCGATGTTTGCTCTTTTGGATTACAATAAATCGATTATGCGCAAAGTTTCGTGCTTCAACGACTTACAAATCGGATATGCCTATACAATTGATAGGCTTTCTTTAATTTAATTATGCCTATACAATCTATAGGGCTTTTTTTTATTGTGCCTATAAAAATTCAGGGTTTTTGTGTTCTGCCTGTACAAATACAGGGCTTTGTTTGTGCCTATAAAATTTATAGGGGTTTTTTTATTTTGCCTATAAAAATTCAGAGCTTTTGTGTTGTGCCTGTACAAATACAGGGCTTTTGTTTTGCCTATAAAATTTATAGGGCTTTTTTATTTTGACTATATATTTACAGGGCTTTTTTTATTTTGCCTGTACAATCACAGGGTTTTTTTTGTTTTGCCTGTACAATTACAGGGCTTTTTTGTTGTGCCTATATAAACATAGAGCTTGTTTTCTTAAATTTTTCTGGAAATTTATTCCCAGTTAATTTTAGAGCTTTTATTTGCTCTATATACCAATTATTCTTGGTATTATATATATATTTTTTTAATTGCGGAAAATCTGTTCCCGTCTTACTTTGCCGCTTGAGCTCAATTTTTTAGGCTCGTATGGACCAAATGTTCGGTCCATTTTATTGTCGATTTCGAGGCTCGATTGACCAAAATGTATTGCCTATACAATTGACAGGGCTTTATATATTGTGCCTGTACAATTACAGGGCTTTTTTAGTTTGCCTATATAACTTATAGGGCTTTTTTGTTTTGCCTACGGCTTACATACATTTATGGACTAAACTGTCCTTGTGCCTATAAATTTATAGGGCTGTTTATTGTGCCTGACCAAATACAGGGCTTTTTTGTCGCAGATCACTTCCCTTGGGCTCGTATGGACCAAAATATTCGAGCAGAGCTGATTCACTTGTCCCTTACCTCGGGTGGGGGGTAACAAGTAATTCTCAGCAATGCCTGAACTACAAATACTCTTATTTTAAAATTCTCTTTTCCTTACCACTGGAAGGGGGAAGTAGAGTCTAATAAAATAAGAGGTTAGTACTTTCAATATTAAAAGTTTTACCCCTTACCGCTGGCGGGGGGAAGTAAAACTTTAATAAGGAAAGAAGAATAAAGAGTGTTAAATGCTTTACCCCTTACCTCTGGTGGGGGGAAGTAAAGCATATAAAATAAAATAGAGAAGAAGAGTGTTAGGTGAGATTCAATATTCGATTCGGAATATTTATTAAATATTTCTTCTTTATATACAATTTTCTTACTTTATGTTTCCTAACTAATTGTATATGTACATATGTGTGTGCGTGTGTGTATGTATGTATATTTACAAAAGATAAAATAAGAAACCAGTGCATTGGTTCTTAAGGTATTTTGGTTGTGTGCCTCTGCTACATCTTTGCATATTAAGAATATTTATAGGCAATGTATTTTCTGTTTATAGCACCATAAGGGTTCCTTTGCAGCATTGACATTTTAATGTTTCCCGTATGCGCTGC